CAAGTTTGAGTCGGGCGTGTCCCCTAGAGGGGATTTTGGACGACAAAAAAAAGATACCCAGAAAATATTCAAAAGATGTCAAAAAATACAAAAATAGTCTCCATATCATTTTTTCGTCTTTTTGAGTATTCCCCTTGTAGAGGGACAGGCCCGACTTACCCCTAGGTGGTGGCGATCCCCCTTGGCATTGCCTGGGGATAGGCCCTGGGGGCCAGGCCTTCCAAGCGGGGCCGGAGCAGATTGGGTGGGAGGATCGCGCAGCATCGCGGGTGCATCGACGTTGCGGCGCGCTCCTCCGACCCCAAACGCTCTGGCTCCGTTTCAGAGGCCTCCAGGGAGGACGGCGGTACGGGAGAAGGAGAGGGAGTTTGAAGAGGGGGGGGGGGCGGTCGGACGGTCGAAGAGCAGGGTTAAGTGGGCAGGAGCAGCTGACTGCGAGGAGGGAGAAGATGGGGAGGGAGAGGAGGAGGAGGAGGAGGAGGAGGAGGAGGAGGAGGAGGGGGAGGAGGAGGAGGTGGAGAGGGACGGGAGACGAGGACGAGGACGAGGACGAGGAGGAGGAGGAGGAGGAGGAGGAGGAGCAGGAGCAGGAGCAGGAGCAGGAGCAGGACCAGTAGCAGGAGCAGGAGCAGGAGCAGGAGGAGGACGACGAGGATGAGGAGGAGGAGCAGGCGGGGAGCAGGAGGAGCAGGAGGAGCAGGAGGAGGAGGAGGAGGAGGAGGAGGAGGAGGGGGAGGAGGAGGAGGAGGCGGGGAGCAAGAGGAGGCGGGGAGCAGGAGGAGGAGGAGGAGGAGGAGGGATTTGTATTGCATTTCGCTGGGTTTCTTCAAAAACGAGCGGTTGCTGCAGCATCGTTCCGCGGAGTTCGCGGGCTTTTTTAGCTCGGCGTTGGACTTGCCGGAAACAGTCGCAGTTCCTCGTTGGGAGGGCCAGGGCGAGCTGTATCGCTACTGATTCTCAGTTTTGGCACCACGCGTAACTCAAGCAATGTCGCTCTTATCTGGGATTTCAGACAGGCCCAGTCAAGTGCGACAAGTCTTGGGACCAACTTGGCAGGAATTTCATGGACTTCTGCTGCCTTTTCGGGGGGCGCAATGCGTAGGACTGCATTTCTCCACACCGACATGTCGTGTGTTCGTCATGTCGGTTCTCTCCTTTTTCTCCCTGCTGAAGGCGTCACCAGACAGCGTCCTAGCGCTGGAGGCGCACGTCTTGCGAATAGCGGCCAAGGGTCCCCAACACTGGAGCATGCCGCTGGAATGCTGGTAGTTGAGAGCGTTGTACGGGCAAGCCAGCTCCTTCACCGCTTCGCATGATGGGGCCTCTGGGCGCCTCTTGGGGCCTGGCGGCTGCGGTCTCGCGCGCAGGCGCTTGGACAGATGTCGCAGCTGATGTTCTCCGGAGAGTGCTTGGGCTTGGGATGTTGGCGCCAGCTTCGCACGTGCTGGACCAGGCTTGGGACCATCGGGAGCTTCATGGCATCTTCATGGAGGGGCCCCACGTGGCTGGCGGCCCCGCGGGGATCGCCAGTGCGCCACACGAATGGACCACATGGGCTTCGCCGACCCAGAGCGGGGTGCTGAGGAGCGTGGGCCCGAACAGGCCCTACGTTGGGGAGGGGCTCCGGCGTGCGGTCACGCTTGCTCGGTTTTCCTTAGTTGCGGGGGATCGAACCTCATGGCAAATAGGGGCCTCGTTCCTTATTTAGGGTTCCTTAGGTCAACGCCTCGACTGTACAGCGCTGGCACCCCGGCGGCCTCCCGGAGCAGCACCGCCCGTCGGGCTTCTGCCCAGCGCGCGGCCGCCGGCAGGTCTGGTGGCTGCAGGGTCCGGGCCGCGTGTCTTGATGGGCCTGTCTTCCACCACCACCACCATAAGTTGGAGGGGGGAATGTAAAACGACGCGAAGATCGGGACAAAATCGGATCGGGATAACTCGAAATCTCTGAGAATCGGCGGGCTTGGAGGATGTATTGGGCGCCGCGGCCGCTCCAGAGCGTTCCGGAACGCTCTGAGAGCGCTCCGGAACGCTCTGGAGCGATTTATCCCGATCCTAGCCTTGTTTTAAGGAGGACGAGGAGGACCCCGTCCCCCTCCAACTTATGGTGGTGGTGGTGGTGGTGACAACATGCCCATCATGTCTGAGCCGATTTTGGAACGGGCGGTTTACCGAACGGCGTTTTCAACAGAGGCATCGCGCTTGCAGCTGGTGCGTCTTCGGATGCGGCGGGCAGGCTGGCGACAGCCCGGAACGGTCACACCGCGCGTCGTCGACGCTATGAGTAGATAGCAGCTTGCGATGCGCGTTGTGCATGTGATCTTTCTTTTCCCTGCCTCCTTCGTTTTCTGTCACAGTGCTCGCTGGTTCGTTGGATTGCCGATGCTGCCTCCTGGGGCGGGGAGCCCTCGCTGACAACCGTGCCCAGTTGGAGCGCAAGCTTGGGCGCGCCCACGTCCCCACCGCGCGCGGCGGTGCGCCTGCGGCCCCCCTCTGTGAGCATAGTTTTTGCCGCGTTTTCCCGCCTGAACTCCCACAGCGGCTTCGAGCGGAGGCAGACGTCGCAGTGCAGAGGTGGGAGCGCGACTGCAGCGGCCGCGCGTCCAGCACAGGCGCCTTCGCCTGCACCTTGGGCCAAAAAGTGGCTACGGAGGAGGAGGCGAGGAGAGGGAGGAGGAAGAGGAGTGGAAGGAGGAGGATACAGTCGGGGCCCTGAAGAAGGAACCCTTTTCGTTGGGGAGGGGCTCCGCGTTCCGTAAGTGTTTCGCAGCTTGCATCAGGTTTTCCTTATGTTTTCGATCGGAAATCGAAGTTTAACTCATGGAAAAAAGGGGCCTCGTTCCTTATTTTGGGTTCCTTAGGTCAAGCCCCCGACTGTATTGGAGGTGGCGTCGGGGGAGGAAGGGGTGGGGGGGAGCAGGAACGGGACGAAACGTCGACGCGAACAGGAGCTTTGGGAAGCCCGCGCGGGCCTCTCGGCTGGATCCCCGCGCGCGCCTCCGGCACCACCCTTCGGCGCGCTCCGTCCAGCTCCGCGCTCAGCTCCGACGGTTTCTGCGAATGCAGCTTGCCTCTCCCGCAGAGGAGGACGAGGACGAGGACAAGCTAGGCTAGCGTTAAGTCGCGGTGCCCCTCTACAGGACGGAATATTCAACAATAGTCGGTTGGCTCCCTCTGGGGCCACGAATTCTGTGAGGGATGTGCAAAAATGGGGCGGCGGTGCCATGCGGGCGCCCCCACTGGGGCCTTCGGTGGAGCTCCCTGTGGGGCCGCAACCGTGTGAGGGGTGTGACAAAATGGGGCGGCGGTGCCATGCGGACGCTCCCGCTGGGGCCTTCGGTTGAGCTCCTTGCCACGACAAGTGTGAGGTGTGTGCAGAAGGGGGCGGCGGTGCCATGCGGACGTTCCCGCTGGGGCCTTCGGTGGAGCTCCCGCTGGTGGCCTTCGGTGGAGTCCCTCTGGGGCCGAAGTGAGAGGGGTTGGTGTGCCAAAATAGTGGCGGTGGCGCCATGCGGGAGTCGCCCGCTGGCTTCGGTAGGAGGGTTGATGGGGCCACGAACCGTGTGAGGGGTTGGTGCCGAAATGGAGCGGCAGGTGCCATGCGGACGCTCCCGCTGGGGCCTTCGGTGGCGCTCCGGGGTCACGAACACTTGTGAGGGGTATGCCGAAATGGGCCGCGCGTTGCCGTGCGGACGCTCCCGCTGGGGTCCTTCGGAGGGCTCCCTATAGGGCCACGGAACGGTTCGAGGGGTGTGCAAACTGAGGCGGCGGCGGTTGCCCTGCGGAGACGCTCCGGCTGGGGCTCTGGTGGCGTCCCTATGACGATGGTGACGATGTGATGAGATGACGAGGCGGGGGGAGGAGGGAGGAGGGGAGGAGGGAGGGGGCAGCGGGAAGGAAGGAAGGCACGGTTGGTCTCTTCACAAAGAGGACCCAACACCACAGGATAGTTGGGAACAAAAAAAAGCCACCAGAGGCCCCCGAGAGGCTCCCAAGGCAGCGCGGTAGACAATCATGGCGGACCAGAGCAGCACGGCAGTCCAGCTGAGAAATGACCTCCACACGGCAGGCCAGTGGTTTGCCGTGCTGGTCGGATTTGCCGTGTTGGTCTGCCGTGCTAGTCTGGTCTGTCGTGTTGGTTTGCTGGTCTACCGTGCTGGTCATGGCTTACAGGGGAGAGGGATTCTTGCGGCGTGGGGTATGATGGAATGGGTAAACCCCTCCCAGAAGGGGCAAGAGGGGGCTTTGGTGGGCTGCAGCACGCCCCGTCACCTGTGCCTGTGCAACAGGGCAGCAGGAAGACGGCCGAGTGTAAGTCGACTTCGTCCACGCGGTAGGAAGGAGGTCGAGTTCACGCCCCGCGGCAGTTCAGCGAGTGGTGTGGAACTGGGGAGGGTCATGATCTCGACCTCGTCTTCGTCCGCACGAAGGTGAGGAGGAGGAGGCGACAATGAGGACGAGAAGGAGGAGGCTTCTTGGGACCTCTTGGGGCATCCTGGGAGGCCTCCGGCAGGCTCTTAGGGGCTCTTGGGCTCCTGGGTCTCTTGGGGCCTCTTTGGGACTCCGTTGTGGACAGGCCCTTGTACTGACACTTCGCGGTGAGCTCAAGGCATATACGCGCAGGTACTCTTCTGCCTTCGCGCTCGGGGACATTTTGGCTCGAGCTTTGGCGGCACACCGAGTCTGGACCAGACGCGCTGCGGGACCGGGGCAGCGATGAGTTTTTGGGCGCCCCTGGCGGATTCCTTCCTGGCAGCGGGCCCGACACGGTGGCTTCGCCTCGGGTCCCGCGGGATGCCTTCGCTGTCCCAGCAGCGGGGGCGCCTACCACGGCATGGGCCATATGGGCTACGCCGGTGGTGGAGCGGGGTGCTGCGGAGGCGTGGGCTGGCTGCGGCAACAGCTGCGGCGCGGACGGGTGCGGAGTGGGCGTGGCGCCGGCGTGCGGTGACGCGTGCTGCGGGGTCGCGGGCGCCAGTTGCGGGGGCATCGCTGGAACGACGATGTCGTATGTGGGCATGGGCGGTGATTACATCGCCACGACCACTTACCAGTACGTTGGCCAGGGTGCTGGCACCTTCACCGTGGTGCCGATCCCCGCGGCCGGGTGCAGTCCATGGTGGCTGTGTTGCTTCCTGCCGCTGCTCTTGACCCCCCTCCTCTTCTTCGCGGGGACCACCACCACCACGACCACGACCACAACGACCCCTGCCATCATCACCCTGCCGCCTCCGGACGTCGTGCCTACGCCGCCGCCGAAGCAGTGCTGCATCGACATGTGCAACTGTGCCCGCGATGGGACGCAGTGAGACGATGACTGTGGCTCCGAGAAGTGTACCGATTTCGACGACTGTGATGAGAAGGGCATCTGCATCACGGGCACTCCCGAATGCGAGAACCCCACGCCGGCGCCGCCGCCGCAGGGGCCCCAGAGGCACTGCAGGACCGTCGGTGACCCGCCGTCGGTGTCGTTTGAGCATGTGCGTGAGCTTCTACTCCAGGCGAGTATTGGACTTGTGAAGAGCTACCACCGTCTGGAAGCAGGGCCGCTACATGCCAACTCCTGTGACCAATGGCCTCTCCGTCATGAAGGAGATCGCGATCGGCGGCCCCTTCCTGGAGTGCAAGGACGGCACCAAGAACGTCCTCCGCATCTCCTCCCTCAGGGCGACCTTCAACGACATCCCCATCATCTCCGGCTTTCCGGACGCCTGGGAGAACCAGGATCCGATGATTAAGGTTGTCACCGACGGCAGTGGGCAGGTGATGCAATCGAGCCGTCACGGCAAGGACATGCGCGTCGTGCACGTGGACTTGCCGCTCAACGTCCACCTGGAGATCAACCGCTGGAACGAGCCAGGCGAGGGAGACTACATCAACACGATGATCACCATGAGCATGCAGCCCAACCAAGACGGCCACTGCGGAAATTTCAACGGCGTGCTTGAAGACGACACCAGGCCGGCGATCCGCGCCCGCATCGGCACCCAACGTCTGTCCGCAACGGAGCTGCTCTCTCCACACCAAGACCCCTGTGACGCGGCGAACCGGCCGACCAGACCAATCTTGCCCGATCGACAGATGAGAGGGCAAGGAGGCTCAGCCTGGTGAGTCTCAGCCGGCATTCCAACAAAGACTGCCTATCGACGTTTTGCTTCGGAAGGGCGCACTTTCGGCAGACATGACGACTACGGAAATAGGGAGGGGATGGCGCGCCACCCGCAAGCCATGATGTTGCCGCTCTCGTGGAGGTTTCATGCCATTACACCTGTAACGCAGAGGCAGACGGCGTGGCGTTTCGAGGTCAGGCTCACACTCTGTCGCACTTTTTTTGCTGCGCACGCAGCGGCGTTGAAGGTGGTGGCCAGCGTCAGGGATGGAGCTTCTGCCGCGGGCTGGACAAAGCTACCGGTCTCAGCGGAAAGCTCGCAGAGAGCCCCTATCCGGGAACACCAATTAGCCTGGAAATAACCAACCACATGATGCTGCGGGGCTGCGAGTATCGCGAGGGAGAGGAGACGAAGGAGGGGGGGCAGCAAAAAGGACTGCGGCGTGCATGAGCGGGAGAAAAGCTGACGCGGGCGAGAGGGGAGTCTTCTTGGCTTCGCCCGAGCCCCGTGCGCGGCCCGTGCCATGCGGACGCTCCCGCTGGGGCCTTCGGTTGAGCTCCCTCTGGGGCCACGAATTCTGTGAGGGATGTGCAAAAATGGGGCGGCGGTGCCATGCGGGCGCCCCCACTGGGGCCTTCGGTGGAGCTCCCTGTGGGGCCGCAACCGTGTGAGGGGTGTGACAAAATGGGGCGGCGGTGCCATGCGGACGCTCCCGCTGGGGCCTTCGGTTGAGCCCCTTGCCACGACAAGTGTGAGGTGTGTGCAAAAGGGGGCGGCGGTGCCATGCGGACGTTCCCGCTGGGGCCTTCGGTGGAGCTCCCTATGGGGCCACGAACCGTGAGAGGGGTGTGCCAAAATGTGGCGGTGGTGCCATGCGGACGTTCCCGCTGGGGCCTTCGGTGGAGCTCCCTATGGGGCCACGAACCGTGTGAGGGGTGTGCCGAAATGGAGCGGCGGTGCCACGCGGACGCTCCCGCTGGGGCCTTCGGTGGAGCTCCGGGGTCACGAACACTGTGAGGGGTATGCCGAAATGGGCAAGCGGTGCCGTGCGGACGCTCCCGCTGGGGCCTTCGGTGGAGCTCCCTATGGGGCCACGAACCGTGTGAGGGGTGTGCCAAAATGAGGCGGCGGTGCCATGCGGACGCTCCGGCTGGGGCCTCTGGTGGAGCTCCCTATGACGATGGTGACGATGATGATGACGATGACGAGGCGGGTGGGAGGAGGGAGGAGGGGGAGGAGGGAGGGGGCAGCGGGAAGGAAGGAAGGCACGGTTGGTCTCTTCACAAAGAGGACCCAACACCACAGGATAGTTGGGAGCAAAAAAAGGCCACCAGAGGCCCCCGAGAGGCTCCCAAGGCAGCGCGGTAGACAATCATGGCGGACCAGAGCAGCACGGCAGTCCAGCTGAGAAATGACCTCCACACGGCAGGCCAGTGGTTTGCCGTGCTGGTCGGATTTGCCGTGTTGGTCTGCCGTGCTAGTCTGGTCTGTCGTGTTGGTCTGCTGGTCTACCGTGCTGGTCATGGCTTACAGGGGAGAGGGATTCTTGCGGCGTGGGGTATGATGGAATGGGTAAACCCCTCCCAGAAGGGGCAAGAGGGGGCTTTGGTGGGATCCCGCTGCAGCACGCCCCGTCACCTGTGCCTGTGCAACAGGGCCAAGCCGGAAGGCGGACCGAGTTGTAATTGTCTTCTGTCCACGCGGTAGGAAGGAGTCGAGGTTCACGCCCGCCGGCAGTTCAGCGACGTGGTGTGGAACTGGGGAGGGTCATATCTCGACCTCGTTTCCCCGTCCGCACGAGGTGAGGAGGAGAGGTGGGGACAATGAGGACGAGAAGGAGGCGGCTTCTTGGGACCCTCTTGGGGCATCCCTGGGAGCCTCCGGAGGGGACTCTTAGGGGGCTCTTGGAGCCTCCTGGGGTCTTCGGGGGCCTCTTGGGGACTCAGCTGTGGACAGGCACTTGTAACTGACCATTCGCGGCGAGCAAGGCATATACGCAAGTAGATTCTGCCTTCGCGCTGGGGACATTTTGGCTCAGCTTTGGCGGCACACGAGCTGGACCAGGACGCGCTGGGGACCGGGCAAGCGATGAGCTTCATTGGCTCCTGGGGATCTCTTCATGGCCCATGGCGGCGGGCCCGCACGGTGGCTTCGCGGCGGGCTCCCGCGGGGCCTTCGCCAGCGGGGGCGCCTACCCGGGGATGGGCTACGCCGGTGGTGGCTACCCAGGGATGGGCTACGCCGGTGGTGGAGCGGGGTGCTGCGGAGGCGTGGGCTGCGGCAACAGCTGCGGCGCGGACGGGTGCGGAGTGGGCGTGGCGCCGGCGTGCGGCGACGCGTGCTGCGGGGTTGCGGGCGCCAGTTGCGGGGGCATCGCTGGAACGACGATGTCCTACGTGGGCATGGGCGGCGACTACATCCCCACGACCACTTACCAGTACGTGGGGCAGGGTGCTGGCACTTTCACCGTGGTGCCGATCCCCGCGGCCGGGTGCAGTCCATGGTGGCTGTGTTGCTTCCTGCCGCTGCTCTTGACTCCCCTCCTCTTCTTCGCGGGGACCACCACCACCACGACCACGACCACAACGACCCCTGCCATCGTCACCCAGCCGCCTCCGGACGTCGTGCCTACGCCGCCGCCGAAGGAGTGCTGCATCGACATGTGCAACTGTGCCCGCGATGGGACGCAGTGCGACGATGATTGTGGCTCCGACAAGTGTACCGATTTCGACGACTGTGATGAGAAGGGCATCTGCATCACGGGCACTCCCGAATGCGAGAACCCCACGCCCGCGCCGCCGCCACAGGGGCCCCAGAGGCACTGCAGGATCTTCGGTGACCCGCACGTGGTGACGTTTGACGGGCAGTCGGCCAGCTTCTACTCCCAGGGCGAGTACTGGACTGTGAAGAGCACCACCGTCTGGATGCAGGGCCGCTACATGCCGACTCCGGTGACCAATGGCCTCTCCGTCATGAAGGAGATCGCGATCGGCGGTCCCTTCCTGGAGGGCAAGGACGGCACCAAGAACGTCCTCCGCATCTCCTCCCTCAGGGCGACCTTCAACGACATCCCCATCATCTCTGGCTTTCCGGACGCCTGGGAGAACCAGGATCCGATGATTAAGGTTGTCACCGACGGCAATGGGCAGGTGATGCAATCGAGCCGCCACGGCAAGGACATGCGCGTCGTGCACGTGGACTTGCCGCTCAACGTCCACCTGGAGATCAACCGCTGGAACGAGAGGCGAGGGGGACTACATTCAACACGATGACACCATGAGCATGCAGCCCAACCAAGACGGCCACTGTGGCAATTTCAACGGTGTGCTGGACGACGACACGAGGCCAGCGATTCGCGCCCGCATCGGCACCACAGGTGACCCGCAAGCGGAACTGCTCTTCCACACCAAGACTCCTGTGACGCCCGTGAATCGGCCCGATCTCAACAATTGCGCGCCCGACAAGACTGAGATGGCCAAGGAGCTCTGCACGAAGAAGTCCAAGACTGGCATCCCCAACAAAGATTGCATGATCGACGTGTGCTTCGGAGGGGAGCACTTCGCAGACATGACCGACTACGACTAGGCGAGGGACTGCGCGCCACCCGCAAGCCATGCTGCTCTGCCGCCTCTCGTGGAGATGTCATGCCATACACCTGTAACCAGCCAGAGGCAGACGGCGTGGCGTCTCGAGTCAGGCTCACCACTCTGTCGCACTTTTTTTGCTGCGCACCGCCAGCGGCGTTGAAGGTGCGTGGCCAGCGTCAGGGCAAGGAGCTTCTGCCGAGGCTGGACAAAGCTACCGGTCTCAGCGGAAAAGCTTGCAGACCGAGCCCCTCCTTCCGGAACACCAATTAGCCTGACGAAGGACCCAACCACATGTTGCTGCGAGTATCGCGGATCGCGAGGGAGAGGAGACGAAGGAGGGGGGGCAGCAAAAAGGACTGCGGCGTGCATGAGCGGGAGAAAAGCTGACGCGGGCGAGAGGGGAGTCTTCTCGGCTTCGCCCGAGCCCCGTGCGCGGCCCGTGCCATGCGGACGCTCTCGCTGGGGCCTTCGGTTGAGCTCCCTCTGGGGCCACGAATTCTGTGAGGGATGTGCAAAAATGGGGCGGCGGTGCCATGCGGGCGCCCCCACTGGGGCCTTCGGTGGAGCTCCCTGTGGGGCCGCAACCGTGTGAGGGGTGTGACAAACTGGGGC